TTGGAGATGTAAATGTAGTAAATTGGGAAATTGGGTTGAAACTGCATTGATGCTAAGACTGCTTTAAAAAGGAATCCCACATACCAGTCTGTGTTCATTTTCATAAAAGCAGTGCAAAGAAGGGACAATGGTGAAGCCTTTAAGGTAAAATAATATGATTGCTATTTGTTTTTCAAAATTCAGATGAAGCTATCTGCAAGATGTTTTCTAATAAATCAAAAAAAATTATTTTCTGTTTTTATCATTATCCTTTTGCAGAATTTAGAGCACTGTGCCTTGTTTCAGCATCAGTAGTGCAATGTTTCAGTTCAACTTTTTTCAGCCTGCTTTAAGACTCAAATTTTTGGGTACCACATATCCAGGATACCAGTGTTTATGGTATGGAGTGGAATCTTGATTTTTATTATTTTCTTTGCTCATTGGAACTTCGTTTTGTGTACTATGGGTGTTGTACCTTCCCACCCTATTATAACTTTATTCCTGGTGGGAACCCATAATCTGAATCATTACTCAAACAAATGGGATTTCAAATATCATTTCCTAATAGTTTTAAAACAATGACTGAGACTGACTGCTGTAGAACTGAATCTATAGGCTTTGTCTCCAGATGAGTCTTGCTGATTGCAAGAGTCGCATAGACACTGTCACTAGGACTCTTAGGTTGGCGTTGAGCCAATTGAACAATTTCTCTTTTTATTGCAATTCAGAATGGCAAACACACTGTGAAATTGTTTATCACCCATATAAACAATCCATACTGGTTGATCTTTTCCCTGCTAGTAATAGGTCATGTTTCAGACCAGGTCTAAAAACTTTTGAGTTTTTTTCTGGTACTGATCATGGATTTGAGTCACTCCATTACATGAAAATGTGGTCCCTCTTGTATAACATCTACAGTTTTGACTGAGTTGGTCTGGGTTGAGGCTACCATTCTAGTTGTGGAACTAAATCGAAATAAATAGTGTATTCATAACTGAAGCATAAGACCTCACCTGCAATATACTCTATACCAGAGTTCATTGATATTAACCTAATGGTTGTTGCAGAAATTTAAGTCCTTATCTTAGGCATTTTTGTGGAAAATCCAGCAAAAATTTTTTCAAATATCCATGATTTTTTCAAGGAGGTATGTTATAAGAGACAGAAGGAAATATGAGTGTTATGTATTTCAGTAAGATGCTAACACAGAGCAATCTCTGGTAGTATTTTCCTGTACTTTCTTATCAAAGAAAGTTAAAACAAACAATTAGAAAGTGAAAATTAAATGTGATTGCCTTTTATGGGGAAGAGCATTCACAACGTCAATTAATCCATTTTATTGAATTTTCCTTCTCTGAACTGACCGGTTGTTTTGCTTCCCCGTTTGTCACCTCAGCATGTGGTGCAGAGAGCTCTCCAATAATGGAGTGATCTTAGTAGGAACTGAGACTTGGCCAGGCCATTGGACTTAAGGTAGCACTTTGACAGGACCTGACACTGACTTGGTTATTATTAATTCTTCAACTAGTATAAAAATCATTCAGCTATTCTTTTTTTAATTTATTAAAAATGTATAACTTTATTATCATTCACTGAACACATATATACAAATATTGAAATTATTCAAAGAAAAGCAATTCAAGGGAAAAAAACTATAATAATATTCAAATATAATAGAAATCAACCAAAGCAAAACTGAAAAGTACTTAAACATTTTTCCATATAATTTAAAAAAACATCTCAAGCATTAACAAGACATCAAAGGATGTGATTTGTTTTAGAAAGATTTTCAAAACTAATATTGAACAAATAGTGGTCTGGAAAAAAATTCTAATTAGCTAGTAGACTCCACATAGGCCAAATTTTTAAAATTTAAATTTCAATACAGTCATGTGACACATGATGGACATATAATCTGAGAATTATGTTATTAGGCAATTTCATCCATGTATATCGCAAAGTACCACACAGAGTGCTAACTTCTAAGGCAAACTGAAAAGGTATACATCAATCATTTGTGATGGCCCTTTGACATTATCCAAATAAGCAGTTAAACATGAGACACATGTGGCTGCCACTGGCATAGCAGCACACTGTTTTACAGTGAACTCTTTTATATAAGTAAGATTATGCTCTAAAGGATGAAAAGCACAGGATGCTATAAGTACATAAAATAGTAACAGTCATTTATCACACTATCGAGTACTGTGTACTGTACATAGTTGTATGTGCTTCTTCTGGAAACATACCCTTCTCTCCTTTGATCTCAGTGACTCTTCCTTTCCAATCCACTGATGAGCTCCAGCCTAGTTTCTATCTACATCTCTTCCTATAGTTTTAAACACAATCTATATATGGATTCTTTCCAGATTCCAGCCTGTAACTGATCTCTCCCCTTTCCCTCCTGCCACCCCTACCCCTTTGAACCTTTTCTTCCAATTTCAAATTATCAATTATTCATTTTAATCATTTTAATCCTTATTTACACTTTCAGTTTCTCATACTAGAGAAACTATTTGGTATTTACACATGTGTGTCCTATTTATTTCACTTAAGAGAATGGCCTCAATATGCATCCATTTAGCTAAATGTCTCTAGTTTCTCATTCCTTATGGCTGAGTAGTACTCCATTTTATAAAAAAAGCCACATCTTCTTTATTCCAGTTGATGGGCACTTGGGATGTTTCCAAGCTTTAGCTATTACAAACTGTGCCACTATAAACATGGGTGCACATATATTGCTGTGGTATGATTCTTTTAATTCTTCGGGGAAGATACCCAGCAGGGGAATAGCTGGGTCAAATGGGGCCTCTAGTCCTAGTTCTTTGAGGTATCTCCATACTGATTTCCACAGTGGTTGCATCAGTCTGCACTCCCACCAACAATGGAGAAGGGTTCCTTTCTCCCCACACCCCTGCCAGTGTTTGTTATTGGTTGATTCCTTCATAGCAGCTGGTATAAAAATCATTCAGCTATTCTTTAAAGTTTAATTACATCTGTGCAGGAATGTATGTCATTTGTTTCTCATGCCCAATTTTCTTTGCCTTCTGTCTGCTATTACTGGAAAGCAGATGTTTATTATAAATTATATTTCTTTAATATGTGACTAAGTAAAGATATAGGGTTGAATTATTTCTTTTTTGAACTTTTGCCTAAAACATTAAACTATACTAATATCAACTCTGCAGAATCTGTTTAAAAATAGGAGCAACTAGGGTACAGTATTTCCTAACTAAATGCTAAAGCTTTCAGATTGTAAAAAAGCTGGGAGGCAGGAACAATTGAAAGACTCTAAATGCATCATGTCTAAAAAAATGAAAAGACAAGCAAAGGCTATAAAGACTTCCTGTCATATTCATTTCTTCTATCTTTACAAAAAAGGCACTATAAGCCTTTTGAGTCTTTTCAAAATACTTAGCTGGAAATTTTCAAAGTATTAGAAATTTTTAAAAATTTTGTAAATAGTATACATTCTTAATTTGGTCATATTCTGAAATTAAATAAAATTACAGTATGGTCTCCAGTATTCCCCTATGGTAATTTTTGTTTGCACCATTGCACACAATAATAACAAAGAACTGCAGATTCTCATCCCTTTCGTTGACAGTCACTGCATTTTCTTCTTCTGTTTACCACTAGAAATTTTGGCATTTTTCCCTCTATATTGATGTGAAACAGAAAAGCTTGATGTGACAAGAAATTGAAACTATTTATATATTTCTTTCTTTATGGCTTGAAACATACAGAAGACTGCATCTTAAAAGAGTGGTTTTCAATTGAAGGGGATTTCACTGTGCCCCCTGCCATGGCCTTGGACATTTGGCAATGTCAGGGGATATTTCTTATTGTAACAACTTAGAGCTGAAGGGTCTACAGATATCCAGTAAGTGTAGAGCTTAGGGATGATGCTGAGCATGTGCAATGTACAGGACAGTTCTTAATACAGAGTTATCTGGCCTAAAATGCCAATAGTGCTAAGGTGGAGAAACTGTTGTAGCAAAATCCCTCCAACACCTTTCCTGGCCCTTGCCCCCATTCTGTCCATTCTCAATCCTGTTCTTCACTGGTTTCCCACTGCCAAACTTGCATTGATTCTTTACTTTCTTCTTGGTTATCATTGGTCATTCTGCTCCTTTCCACCACTGGGAGTCATAGTCTTGTGAAAGTCAAAGGGCTTAAACACTGGTTTTAAACCTTGTCTTCTCTATTGCAGGGCATTTTATCCTTCTGGTACAATTCTTTTCCTTCTGATATTCTGTACACCTCTCTTTTCATTCTCTAGACAGTTCTAAGTTTTTACATCCTCTCTGTGTCTCCATTCTCTATGTGTTCAAACACTCCTTACTTGTTGATTAGTTGGTGCCATTTGTTAGGGAGTGCTGGGCCCTGGATTGTCCCATTTGGGGCTGGCAAGAACCTGCAAACTTTCTTGCTCTCCTTGATAAAGGACCATCCATGTGTCAGGAGCATGCATAGTACTTTGCACATATTATTTTATTGAGTAGACATATTGTCCCTGCTATACATACGAGGAGATGAAGGCTCATATAGTTTTAGCATATTATCTGGTAACATTGGTTTATGTGTAGAACTAGGCGTTTTATGCAGGAGTGTTTATTTTGAAGCCCTCAGTGTTTTTTGCAGGATTATGTTGACTCTGAGTGCTGCAAATAGTTAGAGACAGCCCAACACGCCAGGCTTTGTCCTAGGTAGAGTTTGGTGACTCTCCTTGAAACACTGAAAGACATTCAGTTGGCCAGATACCTTGAGTCAAACTGACTCAGTGTTCTCAAAGCTGGAAAGTATTTCATTGCTTATGATTCTCTCATTTTTATGGCCAGAGTAGGACTGGTTTACTTCACTTATTCAATTTCTAACATAATTCAACATTACGTTAGTGGCTGCCCTGGTTGAAGAGTAACTTAGAGTCCTGAGCTCAGGGTGGTGCCACCTGCTCTGCTGTCTCACTGGCTTGGTTTGGTGCCATTGTGCTCCTCCCCAAAGCACTCCTCAGCCACCTAATCTTTCTCTCTAACCTTCAGCCTGTTCGCCTTTCACATAGGCACAGTGACACTTCACAGCATGGTGGGGAAGCTTCAAGACAAAGCCTCCACTGACATGGGGTAAGCAGGGTAACAAGGACACGGTGACAGGGTGTCCAGCAGAGGATACCTACAAATAAAGTAAACACCTTGAAGCAAGACAAAGCACCTTGGTGCTGCATAAAACTGCTGCCGCTTATTTGATAACAGACCAGAGAAGAGGTAGGGTGAAGTGTAGAACATGTGTGGGGGACTTTTTAAGCAGATATATTCTATTCTTTTAACCCATTTTTGCATTTTTATTCTGGTGAAAGTGGTTTTTATTTCCTTGCTTAACCTGTGTCAGGGAATTCCTGTGTGCAGCGTGGAAAATCATTGCCACAGCCTGCTTCAGAGATGGCTGCTCCTCTGGCATTGGTGGAAATTTTCCAGTGCATAAAAGTGTGAAAGTTTATTATAAGGGTGTGAATGCTTTTGAAAATAAGATATTCTAGATATTGTTTCTGCCCACAGTTTGCTTTTGTACTTTTTTGTTGTGTCTGCTTTGAAAAATCTTTCAAAGCTATTCAGATAGCTTCAGTTGCTCAAACTAATCTCATCATCATCTGCATTTTTAAAACAATTTTTTGCATTTATCTGTCCAATTGTGGTAGACACAGTCCCTTGACAGACCAACAGGCATTCCCTATCTCTTTCTGATAGTCATTTTGGAGACTGGAAAAACTCAGGGTAGATTTTATTGGACTCTCTGTGTAGACATGAGAAATAGATCTGGTCAGTCAGATAAAAGTAGAAGCCTGGGAAATGCTTTCACTTTTTCTGATAAAAGGGGCTCATTAATCTTTTCATTCCTCTATTTTATTCTCTTTCTTTCTTTTTCCTTCCTTCCTTCCTTTATTTTCTTCTTTAATTCATTCTCTCTCTCTCTCCCTCCCTCCTTCCCTCCCCTTAAATGAAGTTATGGTGACTGGTGCTGCAGCAGCCATCTTGTGGTCAAGAGGAAGGCCCAAGAAAACAGAAAAATATCAGCTCTATCATTTACAACTGCAAAATTAATTCCAGTGGCTGATCTTCCAACTTCTTGTTATGTGAGACAAAGAAATCCTCATTGCTTTGAATTGCTGTCAGTCACTTTTTTCCCATTACTTGTACCTGATTACTTTCTGACATGGTATTTCAGAACAATACATTCTATTCACATTTAAATTTTCATAGATTTTCTCCAACAATTTCTCTTTTGCTAAATATTGTCCTTTTTGAGGAAAGCACAAATAATTAAATCCATGTGTGCATCCCAAGTACATTTTCTTTCCCTTCATGGTGCTCACCCCACACTATTATTGAACATTCTTATTTTGTGCTATTAATACCTTTCACTTGCAGTATTAATACAGTCTGTTTGTTGCTATGTTACACCGCAGAGATATTCATTTTCTGTTTTCTTTTTGTCTTTACAGATAGTGAGTCATACAGTCTAATACTTTTTGGTTTTCCTTAAAATGTGTAATATAAAGCTCTCTTCTCATTAGACACTTCGGTGGGTATTTTGACGGATGGACACAGAGCACATTGAATTCTGCCAGCTGCTACTAGGCAACCAGATAGGGTGTCAGCGTGATGGTGTTCACACATGCAGAGCTGGGCCTAGACATACTTTCATAGTGTCACTTACTTCAACTGGGCAAGAACCAGACTTGAAACTAGCAACCCCACCCTTCTTTTGCTCAGAAGTGCTTTGCTCGATAGCTCCCCACTGCAGGGTCCCTTTCAGAGCCCAAGCCCCGAACGTTTATGTGGCATATACATTAAGAGAGGTTTTTTTTCAAAGTGCAGATCTTTTCTTCCTGATTTGGCATCTGACTGTGGTTATTTCTATTATTAAACATCAATGACTCATATTATATAACAGTAGTTATTCAGAATGAGAAGGTATAATATAAAGTAATAAGGTACCTTCAGCTATGCCTTGCTTTATAGTACCTGGATAATTTAATTTTTTTCATATTTTATTTCTAGCTGTCCCTATCATTTCCATTGAATTGTACACTCAGAATTTCCTTTATATAAAATTTTATCTTTTTTTCTTAAAGCAAAACATTGAAAAGGCCAATAGATTCCAACCCTTTGAATGTTGACTTCTTTTCTTTATACAAATACTTGAAAACCCTCACTAATGCTAATTAGAAGCAAAACAGCACCTCCCACATTCATTTTGCTTCTCTGTGTCATCTCTGACAGTCATGAGAGACAAATACGTTCTCCCTCATTACTGGCACCACTGAAGCACTGAAGCTCAAAGAGAAGAAAATGTGAACAAATGTGAGAACATAGGAAATCAGTTAACTATGGTCATGGGCTAACGTGTACAGTAATTCCATCTGAACAAAGACAGAAAACGTCCAGTATCATTTTGTGTTTCTGTATCATCAAGAATTTGAAGTCTTACATAGCTTTCTATGTCATTTCTTCAGGAACTTATTTAATATCTTTGTTTCTGATTTGAAAGTGATAGAGGAGAGAGACAGTGAGACTGCTTTTGTCCTTTTTAGATTTGAAAAGAAGGTAAAATGGGAAAGACTAGGTGATTGGAGTGAATTGTTCAGGTACATGATGAAGATACTGATAGGTCTTTAAAAACTCAGAAGCCTTCTTTGTGCACTCTGCTCAGGGCTACACTAATCTAATCCCACTGGTGTACATGAAAATCCAGCTTCCTGGCATTGCCCTCTTTGTGGTCTTCTATTTACTTTCCTATTCAAAAGGCAGGAAAGCTCTGGTAAATGCATCTGATGCACAAATGTACTATGAGATTAAAGTGTTAGGGATACAGAACTGTTATCACACCCCTCACCATCTCATTTTCACTTGCTCCTTAGCTACATACTCCCGGCTTCCTGACAATCTCCTTGTTTACAGTGTGGGGATGTCTAAGTTCAAAGAGAGGCCCACAGACTCATGTACTCATGGAGATTGTCTTTGTTTTGACCTTTTTAAAATTAAACATACAGCATCTTTTGACTTAGGAATTCTGTATTCTGTTCATGTTTGTGGCTGATAAATAGAAACACTATGAAGGCTGCCTAGAAATGTGGTGCTAAAGAGAAAACTCTGCTGGCTGGAAGACACATTTAGACCCATCTGCCTAGAGATCATAGTATGGAAGCCCAAAGCAGTCATTCTGGAAGCTGCCACCATTCACCTGTTACTGTGTGAGCAATATTTCTTTTTAAGCAATTCTCCTCTCTTGTTTCATCTTTCTACATGCCTCATCTGAGCTTGGCAAGGGCAAAGCAATGGGTCCAGTCGCCTCCTGACTAACCTCACTGCATGTGCAGCTAGCAAAGAGGGATGGTTTTATAGTGTGTTTTACTGCTCTAGTTGTGGGAGCAGACATTTGAGACTTCACTCCATAACAGCATTATAGCTTCCATAATCAGGAAGCTTTTTACAACCACAGAATATCATTTCATACAGCTTCTCATTTGACTGTTATGAAATTCTTCCCAGTAAATGATTTTATTAAAGAGGTGTTCTTATCCTCACTTTGAAGATAAGGAGACATATTTAGATAAGTCACACAACTAGTGAAGTCAGGGCTGGAATTCAAATCTGTTGTGACCTGCTCTTTACCATTCTATCCCCCTCATTCAGCCTAGTGATTAATCATAGCTTTGGAATCCGATTTAAAAAATGAACATTTAAATAAGACATGTCCATGTACAGTTGCACACACAATATTTTGAGGTGGGAAAATTAAAACATAAATGGGACAACCTACATCACCAATAATGTCTGTTAGAGCAAGAGAACCATGCCAAAATATACCTTCCTACATATTTCAGATGATTATGATAGTAATTATTATTTTTGTTGAGTGATTATTTATGTAGGTATTCTCAGTATTTTTAGGGATTGTTTGATCTCATGCTCATTGCAATTCTGTAAATTGGATATCTTATTATTCCATTTCCCACATAGAAACTGTGGTTTAAATTTTTTTTTTATTAAGTTGATTGGAACATTTTAGGCATACAATACAGTTATATTCATCATTGGGATCTTGTACCTTTACATGATGCATCTTGTTTCTTATATTTTCCCCATTTCCCTGCCCTCCCTTCATCCCCTCCACCCTTCCCTATTTACAAAGACTTTGTTTCCTTTTTTTCTTTTACTAATGTTTTTTTTCTTTTCTCTTCTTTCCTTTTTTCTACCCCTCCTGTTTCCCCTACTCCTTTAGACCGTTTCTTCCTATTTCAATTATCAATTATAGATTTTGATCCTTATTTACACTTTTAGTTTTTCACACCAGAGAAATTATTCAGTATTTACACATTTGTCCTACTTATTTCACTTAAGAGTATGGCCTCAATGTGCATCCATTTAGCTATAAATGTCTCTAATTTCTCCTTCTTTATGGCCCAGTAGTACTCCATTTTATAAAAATAACCACATCTTCTTTATCCAGTCTCCAGTTGATGGGCAATTCAGCTGTTTCCAAATTTTAGCTATTAGAAACTGTGCCGCTATAAACATGGGTGCACATATATTGCTGTGGTATAATGCTTTTAATTCTTTTGGGAAGATAACCAGCAGAGGAATAAGAATAGCTGGGTCAAATGGGACCTCTAATCCTAGTTTTTTTTAGATATCTCCATATTGTTTTCCACAGTGGTTGGACCAGTCTGCACTCTCACCAACAATGGAGAAGTGTGGGAAATTGTAGAATTTAGCTATCTAGTTGTAGGAATTGATCACAGGAAGTTTGTTAACTGAGAAAATTAAGTAGTTTCTGGGAAATTCCACCAGTCTGTTTGTTGAAAGAATGCCTGAAAACTTTAAGAGACATTGTGAAAGTTTCACTGGAGAAAAACAGGTTTTCCTAGTTTTCTTGTTTACCATTGCCTAGGATCAGAGGACTGTGACCCAATGAATCTATGGGTGGTGAGAGAGATACGACTCACTATGCACATCTGTGATGTTTGTGGTGGGCCGGTGGGCTAGATTTTGGCTGAAGTCGCCCTGCTCTCTTGGTACCATCTGATAAGAAGAGGGCTGCAGTGTGCTCTTTGATGTATGGG